CCCCCCTCACCCCCACGTTTTCCCTCCCGCTGCCCTGGCCTTCCATCCATACATTACTGTGTGAGAATTTTAGCACACTAACGACTAACGCTCAGCCAGTACGGGCTGCTGTACGTACTCCTACGTTATTTGTTGCGGGGAGTGTTAGAATAGTGTGGACTTTCTTGGCTTGTAATGCCCGGTAATACCTAGTAATACCCTGTAATACCTAGTAATACCCTGTAATACCCTGTAATACCTTGTAATTCCTGGTAATACCCTGTAATACCTGGTAATACTCTGTAATACCCGGTAATACCTTGTAATAAGCGTAATACGCGTAATACGGAGTAGTCTGTACACGAAAATTCCGAGATAAAACCCCCTCGGCAAACTCCGAGGCAAACTCTCTCTCTCTCTCTCTCCACCGATTTTCAGAAATATCGGCAAACAAAGGAAAAACCTCGAAACAAACCTCAATGTTGGGAGTAAATTCTATTTGATAAATAAGCAGAGTACTACAAGTGCACTGCCACTGTCGCCGCTTGTCAAGTCCACATGACGGTGATAGTTTCCAAACTCGCTCGCCATCATGCAATCGGATAGCGTGCGCCCGGCGCCCGGGGCCACGCCAAGGGTAGCGCTATGGTAAGCGCACCGGGACTACTGGATAACAATTTACTTCTGGTAGGGCGTGCCTCGTTCTTTCCAAAAATCTTATTGCTTCATGTTCTGAGGGGACCTTTCTTTGACGTTTTTGACCATTGAAATGTTTCTAATAAAATAAGAATGTCTGGAAATTAATCAACGTCATCACCATCCTCTACACTGACAGAAATGTTTCATTGCAGCCATAAAAAATTGTTCGATCAGTCGGATTAGTCATGGCCATTAAAATTTTAGTCGCAGCAACTAAACTTTTGGTGACAGCAACCACAATTTCGGTTACAGCAACTAAAATTTTGATGCCTGTGACTAAACCGGAGAGATCAAACAAAATTTGGTAGTGGGATCAAAATTTTGATGGCTGCAACGAAACATTTCGCTCAGTGTACGAACATCTATGCGTTTGCACGCAGCCAAGTAACCACCACAGCCTGAGCCCAACGTTGACAGGGAACACAGCACGAGGGAGGGGTTATCAAAGCGGCTGCTTGTAATGTTCTGGCAAGTCAACAGATACGCGTTCTGCATTACGACTTGAACTGCAATGTGGTCGCGACTGCGCAGACCATTCCACACGAGATAGGGGGCACGCCACCCACTTAGGACCATGTCTCAACTCGAACTAAATTAACCGCAGCGCGAGTCGGGATAAGTCGAGGAAAATTATCAAAGCGAATACGGTAAAGTAGATTCGAGAGCATTTCGGGACACCGCGAAATCAAATTGTCCCACAAAATGGATGATTGCCGCTGAATAGCTGCGCGGAGTGACGAAGAGTTGCTGCAACGCTCCCCCGGCCCCTTCCTAAAAATGAGGACTACCACGACGGGTCCCGGATGAGGCACTTGTTCAGCACAATAGGCCAATTTTCCTCACCAAGGAAAACTCCAGTCCCCTGGCGGTTTCTCCGCCTGCTACATTTCGGAGGTGGAGGCATAGAGGTGAACCCGGGACGAGGGGTGGAAGTGGGGGTGTGGAACCAGAGGGCGCATCGTGCCGGCACAAGAAACTTGAAATGTAGACGCCGACGGCGTTTATCGTTCACACACACGGCTATCAAAGTGAGGTGTTTGTGTGGAACACTTCATAGAAAACAACAATAACGTACGTTTCGGTATGCGCAGTTGTTTTGACATGCAAACTCTGTGATAAGAAGGACAGCAGTGTATACGTTTACACGGTTGCGCCCCTCCCCCAGGCCTACCCCATCACCCTTCTTCTCTCTCCCACCCCCTCACCCCCTCATGCCGTGCAGCCCGACACACCGCCTGCTTTGTTTCTTCCGCTGGGAAATAATGCAATTATACTATTAGACTGAAATCAATCTCTGCCCGACGGTGAGCGAGGCGGGCCTGCTCAGTCCAGCTGGCGGATAGGGCCGCACCACCGTCGGGCTGAAGCGGCTGACCGAGCGACGGATATGATTATGGAAGACGGATGAGATAAAAAGAAAACAAAAACAATAAGCCAAGCCGAGACAAGCATTAAACTATCCAAAGATTTGAATTGGAATAATTTATGTTTCGCCGATGCGCGCGCCGGAGTTTTGCGGGTTTGCCCTACCTGCCTGAGCTTCAGCTACAGGCGGGCCATGTTGCCCAACGAGTAGGCAAACCCGCGGAAACTCGGGCGAGAGAGAACTGACGCCGAAACCGGCCACCTTTTGCCCTTGCTCGGTGTCCTAATAGGACTTCGACTTTAAAAAATACTGACCTGCACTCGGACTTCGGGCAAGTTGACTTTCATCGCGAGCTCCTCTCTGGAGTACACGTCCGGATAATGGCTCTTCTCGAAGGCCCGCTCCAGCTCGTGCAGCTGATAGGTGGTAAACGTGGTCCTGTTGCGGCGGTGCTTCTTCTTGTCGGACATGGAGCCGCCCCCTCCTCCGGCGCCGCCTCCATCGCCGCCCCCGCCGCCGCCGCCACCCCCATCGGCGTTGTCGTGCTCGTCCTCGCTGTCCGCCCCGGGGCCCAGGCGGCAGCGGAGATCCGACGGAGATGCCGCGTCAGAGTGGCAGCTGTTCTCACCTGGTTGAAGAAAAATTTTATGGGTTAAATATGGACGAAACTGTAAAAACCTTTTTACCGACACTATGACGCAAAGAAGATTAAAGAAATTAGGGCGGTCAATAAGAAAAGCAAACCAATTCCATGTGCACACCCAGCCTGTCCTGAACTGACTGGGAATGACCTGCAAGGCGTTCGTTGATATTTAGCTCTCACATTTACCCCCACCGTCGTCTCTCTCTCTCTCTCCCTCCCTCTCGCCCTCCCTCTCACTGACCTACTGAGGTGGCGGTAGCGGCGACTGGCCATTAAGGGGCATTAATCAGATGTCGGAATTACTTGCGAAGACTAATTCTTCAGCCGTGGCCGCTTATCAAAGGGGCGCCCAGCGCGCGCTCACGCGGGTTAAGTGGGGGCGAGGGGGTGGGGGTGAAAGTGGGGGCTGGGGGAGCGAGCGCTGAGCATTAATATGTATGGGATCGGGTGCGTGCCCTGGCAGCAGCCATACCCAGGTGTCTGCAGACTCGTTGTCTCCCCCTCCTCAAACACCACCCCTGTAATCAACCCCTTGGCCTTCATGACACCATCCTTTTTCAATGACACCTATTGAAATGTGGATTATTATATGGTCGCATCATTGAATTACGTCCCAAAAATGCGATTACTTGGGTTGTGTGTATGTTATTTATGTTTTTAAAGAACAGACAAAATGACACGCGAACTGTTCAACATTTACGAATGCAATTAACTCGATACGGCCACCACGCCCGTTACGTGATCGACCCAACGTTCCACGGCGCAGTCTAGGGGGTGATTGCCTGACAGAAAATAAAATTGCTAAATACAGCAAAACGTCTTGCAAGGTCAATTTATTTAAGTTGCCTTAACGTACACTGCATGTACACACTTGTTTATGTATTTACAATCGTATTTAACGGCAGGCGTTTTAGGTCCTAAATTATTGGCCGATGCATAATCCTGGCCGCACTGCCTCATTACCCATAACTCGCACGAAATTTAAAGCAATTAGCCGCCTGCGCCACGTAGCCCACCCCTTCACCCCTTCCCTTACCGCTCACCCAACCCGTCCCGCCCGTGCTCACTCAGCCAGCGCCTCGCGCCCGACCTCCCTCTGCATGGCCCTGGCCGCCGTTTCACACGGAGGAGGTATACGCAAGAGAACGTTTTTCGCGAGGGTATAGGAGCTGCTAAGCTAAACACTTCTTTGCCTGTTGAAAAAACAAAGAATTGAGCTGTGTTTACAGTGTAATTACTTGACCAGCTGAAGCTATCACGCGCCGGGGGTAGTTGGGATCGCGAAGAGAGGGCGTAAGTGCTCTGCCCTCTCTTTCTTTCACTGGTGTAGGGTGAGAGAGAAGGGGGGAGATCGAGTGAAAGAGACGAGGGGGCGCTACGGGTGAGCAGAGGAAGGGGTGGGACGAAGGAGGGCCAGTGGCCACTCACTCCAAGGGGCGACTGACATTGACAAATGGTTTGTTTGTCTGACGGACATGATCCGGGGATAATTGAGTGCATGACCGTGAGCCCCCGAGCCCCACCGGACCCTGCAGACATGCCCCGGCTAAAAGGGCTGAAAGGACTCGGGCCCGGGCCCGAACACGGCGACCGCCCCTCCAGCCCCCGAGCGTGCCCTGGAGGGTCAGTTTGCAATACCTAAACAAATTTAGAAGCATAAAGATTATGAGGTATTTCTCTTTAAAATCTGCGACGACGTAAACAAAAATCTACATCAAATTGTGAGTTTGCGGGGAAAAGAAAATAACACATGGCATGTTATAACCAATTCAACAAACACGCGTTTTCATCGGAGATATAGTAGCCTCCGTATTGCCTCCTGCCCTCGCCGCCCCCCGCCCCCGCCACCCCTCTGCACACACCGCCGCCGCCCCCGATGTCACGATAGGGAGCTCTACCAGCTCATAATTGCTTTTCCGAATTCATCACGTTTTTCCGTGTTTTCTCGTAATTTGTTCCGGGTGCGCACGAGGGGCCGCTTCTGCGCATGCGCCCGCCGGCGACCGAGTTTCTTTAAAATCAACATAGATCAGCAGAATATTCGTATTATATTCACACAAGTCTCGAGTGTGGAGACGGAATAGGATGAGGGGGGGGGGGGTGAGAAATGCTACTGCACAGGACATTTATTTTTCCCTCGAGTCCGTGCGAATCATGAGCGCGGTGTGCATATGCCGTGCGACAGGGAACTACTCGCGGGACCACCGTCAGCGTGTCGACTGTCAGGGCAGCGTATAATTATTGGCTGACGCGAGTGTGTGTGGGAGAGACAGAGACGAAGAGAGGGGGGGGGGAGGGGAGAGGAAGAGAGGGGAAGGGTAAGGGGGGAGCGGTTGATGTGTCGGGGTGTTTCGTCCGGTACCCGCACCGTTGCAGTCATAGCGCTCCAGCTAACACGCAAGGTGCACCCTCGTGGCCACCCCCCGGCCCACCTCTGCCACAGCCACCGCGCCCCGCCACGCCACCGCACCCCGCTGCAGCGGCCGCTCCGCCCTGCAGATTCAGGTAAAGTGCTGACAGCCACGTCCGCCCCGCGCACTACCCGGGGCTGCCGGCGTATGAGGAAGCGCACTAACACCAGTAGAAATTTAGATATCTAAAATGTACAGATTCTACTTGTTTTTCTCTCATTAGTACACTATCTACACCGTCATACCTGTGCTGATTTATTTCTGACCTACATTTTTACACAGCAGCAGTTCTGACAAATTTGTAATTGTGTATACGCTGCACAATGAGAAAAAGTTTTAAGGGTTACGAATTATCTATGATGTATGGGTTGCGGATTAAAATATGAATTTGTAAAATTACAAGGGACTCTATATCGTCTAGCAAGAATTGGCTGTCATAAATTTCGGAAATACAGAGTACGTTGTAAATTTACAAAAATATTTTCTAAGGACGAGAGGCTTCAGAAGCGATAAAAAAAAACAGAAAGAGGATGAGAGTAAAAAAAAAAAATATTCCTGCAAATAGAACAGTATGATAAGATGACAGTTTAAACTGCAAAACTAAGTCTTACAGTCCTAACTGTATAACTTGCAGCACTAGTTTTAACTGCAAAACTGGAAAGGTATACAGTTCGACCTGTCAGACTAGCCATGCAGTTCTGCAGTTTATCCTTTTAAAAAAACAACTACTAAGTTTTGCAGTTTTAAACTGTAAATTTTTTTACTTTTACATAGTTTTGCATTAAAAACTGTCATATTGTTACACAGAGTAAATCGTAAAATTCCAATCTTTGGCCCCATATAATAACTCTTGAAAATTTTAATTTTAAAAATTCACTTTTCTGTTCTATTACCTAGCTATTTCTCTTGGAGGAAAAGTACTACACCCCGCACACCACACGGTTTCTCTTCGCGAGGCGCGCGCGCTTTTGTCACACTTACAAGCGAGACGCTTCCGGTGGCGGCCCAAAGAACTCGTCCGCACGCACACTCGTGTATACTAGCTCCGGGTGCCAGTGTGTGTGTGTATGTGTGCGTGTGCGGCAGGGAATGACCTCCCCCCGCGCCGCGCCACCCCCGCGCTTTTCTCACCCACTAATCGTAAACACTTTTCCCCCAGGCTGCGCGCGCACAGAGGGGTCGATGGTACTTGGCACGAGGGGGAGGG